CTCTTGGCTTCAGGACTCTTCCCCCTACCCCAACATCATGTGGGAGAGGGAATGTTGGTTAAACTCATGGAAGGAGGAATGTTAGGGTTTTTTTTTCCTTTTTTTCCTTTTGCTTTAAATAATATAATATATATATTTTGTTTTTTCTTCTAATATTGCACATCAAAATGCTTCCTGTACACAGAGCAGCCAGATACAACTTGCAGCTCCCCCTGGGAGACCTGATGCAGCACTTGGCCGTGCGGAAGGCGACAAACTCTGAGAGGGAAGCTCTAATTTTTAAAAAATCACTTTTCAATGGAAAGAACATTTGGTAACTCAAGGAGCCAGACAAAATGGGTGTAAGGGAGGGAAACAACAAGAAAACCTCACACGCTGCAAGTTGCTTGAGGTTTCTCTCAATGTTTTCTTTGGTCATGGAAAAAGCTTTGTGTGTGGAACCACAACATCTAGTCAGTCCCCTGATCCCTTTTCACTGTCCACGTCCTGACTGATGCCTCTTCCTCCTGCTTCCTCCTTTCCACGATCGGCTGAGTTCAGTAGATCAAGAGTTCTTTGAGACCTTGAGCGAAAGGCTAGAGCAAGAGTTGACCCAAAAGGTGCCAGTTGACTCTGTCCTTGCTGCAGAGAGGTGGGAGAGCCTGTGTTTGGCCGGGTCGAGCGCGGGGTCGGAGCCTTGGAGCTCAGGTTCCATGGCTTGGTTCAAAGGAAGCACACAGGGCCGACCTCGAGGTGATACTGCTTTCCTGGCTCGGATGGGGGAAGGTTGTAGATGTTGACGATTGGCAGCTGCTGAGGGTCCTGTGTCCGAAACGAAAAGAGCGTCCGATGCCAGCGTCCGTCCTTGATCTGGGCAGGGAGGGGGACAGAGAAAAAACCGATCAGCTGGGGAGTGAATCCTGCCGGAAAGGGATGCGTTTGACGAGGCATAAGCTTGAGACAAGGGACTGTTCTTAGGGCTGAGCGGGTCTGGGGTTTAGGGAGCATTTTGGGGAGCCCTTTGTGAGGCTGCTGAGAACCAAGTTTGAACGGTAT